GATATTTCTTGAAAATTATATAATATTTGCATTTTATAATAAAATATGGTAAGAAAATGGTTGAAAATAGATCTTAAATCAGTTATAATGAACAGTACATAACATCTCTACTTTTGGTTTTTTATATAAATAACCTTTATCGACTTTTGGGGATTTTTTGCATTTCTTCAAATGAAGAAACATACAACGTACATATATGCTATAATTTCACTTTTTAAATTCTAGAGCCTGGCATGACTAGGTGGTTAGGACGACTGGGTTCGAATCCCCGTCCCACCAAACATGCTCGCCCTTTCAGCCGTGGGGCGTTATAATGTGACGGTCAATCCACTATTCGTTAATAAAAAGAGTAGCCCAAGAGTTGGCGATGGGTGGTGATGACTAGCTGACTTCCCTCTAGTCTTTCACTGCTTAAATTAGGGACGACTAGCGCAGATAGCCCTCGTGTAGCTTTGCGCGAACTTCCAACCACACAAACAAAATTTAAATTCTACCATATTTAAAGGGGTGGTTGGGGGTCATTTTGTCATAATTTTCTAAAATTGGATTACTCACCCTAGTTGAAAAATTTCTAATTTCCTGGGCTTCGAACAGGAAGAAATGCTTGACATGTTGCTTTTAATAGGTCTTAATCATGACAGCATGATAAGTTATAACGGGGCTAAGTTCGAGTTCAAAACCCTTATCCAGCTATGGAATGACGGAAGTTATACATACATAGATATTTTCATGTAATGGCAGTAAATCGAGTATGTTGAATTTTGTAGAACATACCCATGTGAGGCGCTCCTGTCAAAAGACATTTCGTGAAACAGACCACCACCACACGTATCGTGTATCAGTATACGTTGTAAAGCTGGGTGTGTTAAGCCGCTTATACACAGCGTAACGTATTTTGTTTGTCAACAGCTATTCTTTTTTCTTCGTGTGAATTTATACAGCAAAAGGCTTTTAATTATCTATTAGACGTTATTTCACCCAATATATAAGTATATATGTGTGTATAAGCGAACGTAAGAATAAAATGAAATGTTGAATTAATGGTTATGTTTTATTTTTACTTTAGGACAGAAAACGTGAGGTTTCTCAGCTGTCTCATCATGGACGGATGTAACATGACCGATTTATCAACATCATCGTTTAATTTATGCAGACACTAACACGCTGGTGAAAACGATACTGTGGCTGTACGAAAACATCCAGCTTGTACCCCTGGGATACGGCATAATACGGGTGGAAGATGGGTTCAAGCAGTTTTGGCACTGTTGACCGATTACTTCAATCCCGACTAGTCATAGTAATGTAGCAACTGAGCTATGTCTATTTCACACTGAAGCTGGAGCTCGCTAGCGCCTCTAGTGGCTATGGTGACACGTTATTAATTTTAGAAGAATTCTTACATCTCTGTACAGAATTATTAAGTTATTAACATAATTATTAATTATTAAGTTATTATTAATTATTAAGATATTATTAATTATTAAGATATTATTAATTATTAAGTTATTATTAATTATTAAGATATTATTAATTATTAAGTTATTATTAATTATTAAGATATTATTAATTATTAAGTTATTATTAATTATTAAGTTATTATTAATTATTAAGATATTATTAATTATTAAGTTATTATCGTGTAATCCGAAACTTTGTAATTCTAAAGCAGTTTTTTTTACACATAAAAAATTACAAAAAGTGTTTTAAATTCTGGTTTAGGATTTACAAAATTCCTTTATGTCAGTACAATTTTAAACGTTTACTAGGCACTTGTAATAACACCAGATAAATGTTTCTGTACTATAACATTTAGAAGTCCTAGCATGGTTTTGTTAACTGACATTACGTATATACATAGACCAGCCCATGTTCTCGGCGTTCGTGTTAGTTCTAAAGCATTAGATTTGTCTTGGTGTTAAATGTGGAAAGATATGTTAATACAGAAGTATAACGTGCCGAAGATATGTCTTCCTCGTGGTATGTTCAACACAGCATACCATATGCAAAAAGTTTCGTTTGTGTTTTCTTCGGCGATGTTTATGTTATGAACGATTTACGAATCTCATAGGTGTTTTTTAAACGGTTGAGGTTATGAGATTATAACAAAGTGTTAGGTTTAAAACAAACTTAAGTTATTTCAGTGGTTTCTGCGCAGATTTACTTTTTTTTTAACACTTAAAAATTTTGTTTGTTTGTAATTAAGCACAAAGCTACACAATGGGCTAGCTGTGCTCTGCTCACCACGGGTATCGAAACCCGGATTCTAGCGTTGTAAGTCCGCAGACATACCGCTGTGCCAACGGGGGACAACACTCAAAATTATTACGTGTAATGTTTCGATGTCAATACGAGGTTGTGACATACATTTTTTAAAAATATACTTCTAAAATGTTTGCACCAACGTTTTGTACGTTTCAAAAATAATACAAAATCACGTCAAAATAATTTTTGAATGATTTTATTGACAACACATCTTTAAAGAACATAAAATTTAACAGCTCGCTATAGTATCATAATAACATTCACATTAAAAACAAGTGCTTGATGCCATCATGATCAATGATTATTAACATGAAAAATTAGTTTCTAGTTTTACTAAACATGGCCAGGTGGTTAGGGCGCTCGACTCGCAATCTGAGGGTCGCGGGTTCGAAACCCCGTCCCAACAAGCATGCTCGCCCTTTCAGCCGTGGGGGGCGTTATAATGTGACGGTCAATTCCATTATTCGTTGGAAAAAGAGCAGCCCAAGAGTTGGGAGTGGGTGGTGATGAGTAGCTGCCTTCCCTCTAGTCTTACACTGCTAAATTAGGGACGGCTAACGCAGATACCTCTCGTGTAGCTTTCCGCGAAATTCAAAATAAACAAGTAAACAAACTCTCGATAAACTGTAGAATATGGACTAATATAGACGCAGAACAGTCAATAATACTGACTCTCTTGACCTGCAAAGTGCTTAATACATTACATTCTCGTTTTCGTGATGCTTAGCGAAAGGGTTTAAGTTTTCTGTTTAAGTAAATATAAGCACACGGTTGGTTTTAGCAGCCAGAGACGTCAGTTCGCTCAGATGTTTTCAGTCCAACAATTTATTTTTGAGTATCGTAATTCAGGATTTAGCCTGAAGCTTTTGGAATGATTTGACTCCAGGTCTATTAAGCCCCACCCTCAGTGGCCTAGCGGTATGTCTGCGGACTTACAACGCTAGAAATCAGATTTCGATACCCGTAGTGGGCAGAGCACAGATAGCCCATTGCGTAACTTAAAAACCAAACGAACCGGTCTATTAGTATCTCGTAAACTAATTTTGGAATTGATAATATATGTATATCTTGCATATTTTTTAAAACTATATATTTGAACTCTTTATTGGAGTAAGTGTTTTTTTTTTTTTACCAAAACATTTAGACGAAATGTTTCGGAATAATTTATTAAATAATATTGTTACTTCCCTTATTGCTTTTACTGTGTTAATTACATTGTGCAATTAACATTTTTGTTAAGTTTTTTACTAACGCTTATAACGCTAAAAACCAGGTTTCAATATCCGTAATGGGCACAGCACAGATAGCCCATTGTGTAGGTTTGTGCTTAAGTCCTCAGGTTGGACAGCGGTAAGTTTACGGACTTACAACGCTAAAATCCGGTGTTCAATTCCCCGCGATGGACACAGCAAATAACGAATTGTGGTTTTGTTCGGAAAAAAACTTTGTTCTCAATAACAAAACTAACTATAACACAATCGTACAGTATGAGGACTAGTTTAATATGTTTAGACTTGTTTAACTTTTATAATAACAAACATAAAGAAAGTCCATTACTTGAACTATTTTGATAAAAAAGCAACAACAAAAACAAAAAAGAGGCACCCTTATATATTCTAAGAAATCACTGAAGCTACTTGAACATACTTCTAAATCGAACACATCGAACGGGAACAAGAATTAAAATCAACAATAATAGTTGAACCTTGGACTTTCATAGCAAGTGATACTTCAAAAAAATGTGTTTTTTTATTTAACTGTATAGTTACGCATGGCCAACGGTATTTTATCTTCTCTCCGTTTTTCCTCACATGAGGATAAACGCTACCCTTATTGAAAGCAAAGTGCAGTCCATAAGATCCAAAAACGACATTAATTTTCAGGTCCCACGAAAAGATGGATCAGAGCTATTGAAACATTTTAAATAATTGTTGTACGTCGTTACATCGTTGATGTATGGCCATAACATTTATTTGGGTAACACAACACCATATTTAGTGGTTGTTGTACGTCGTTACATCGTTTGATGTATCACCATAACATTTATTTGGGTAACAAACACTTCACCATATTTAGTGGTTGTTGTACGTCGTTACATCGTTGATGTATGACCATAACATTTATTTGGGTAACAAACACTTCACCATATTTAGTGGTTATTTTCCAGCATTTCCATGGTTCCCGGAATAGGTTATATATTGATAATTGATTAGATTTATTAATAGTGCATCGTATTTCTAATGAGTTTCTATTTCTTTGTCTATTGAACTAAAAAAAATGGAGGGGTAACGAGCTCTGGTTGGAGGATGAGACTGTTATTTTAAGATTTTTTTGACGTTTTATAAAGCAGAAAGAGGCACCAGGAGTGATATATCAGACTAATGTCCGGTGTTAGTACTAAGAGGGTGGTCAGCTTCTCCCCTTTCAGCAACTGTACTAAAAAAAAAAGAAGGTAAAAAAAACAAACAAACAAATAAGCTTCAGACCTCTCTTGGGTGGGCTGTGATAATAACTTGCTAGAGGTTTATAAATAGGCCAAAGTACTAACCGTTTAGTGATTGGACACAGCCGTTGGTTGTCATAGCGACAGCCATGTTAAAGTGATGTGTATGTGGGCCACACGGACAATATGTTTGTTCTATGTTGTTTTATACACTCATCAAGAAGTCAAATTTGGCCCACAAAAAATAACAAACACATCCTACATCAAACAAAGTTTAGGCCTCTTTGTTTACCTATTACAAAATGATCAGGGGTTGGAGGGGGGGGCAGTCGGAGTATCTAGGAAGCTACAAGGACGTAAGCCCTTGTTAGTTATGCAAGATAAATTTGTGAGTCACAGGAGAGCCTAGTAGTTGTGTGGAGCGACTCCAGGCCGCTTCTTCTCAGTTTGCTTACGTTCCTCGAGTGTTTGTCCAACCGCAGCTGATCGGGAGAATCTAATCAGCAGGCAGCAGTAGGATGTTTTTGTAACAAATCGCGTGTGAGAAAGGAAACGCGAAATCGGCGCGAAAACTGAGTGGTGTCTTAGTTTATTTTACCCAAGCTATTGTTGAATCAGAAAATACCTGAGGAGCTCCCCCCCCCCCCTCTTTTCTGATGACACGCAACGAGTAATTTCACAGTCAACGGCTTCAACCGTTTAGACAAGCAAATTTGTTAGGTCTGTTGCACTTGTTCGTTCTCACACCGTAGTTGAGATATATAAACTTCGCGTCTTTACACTACATTCTGATAACGTGACACGCAGTAGCGATCACGCACCACAAACTCTGTGTCTGGCAGCGCCTAGTTGGTACTGCATGTTGCACCAGTGATAAAATCAACTGATAACGGTTCGAGTATTAGCACTGGGACAGTTGTGATCTAAGCCAACACTTCTCGTTCGGCAGTGACTTTATATGGACCACCTCGCGTCGGCCTTTTGTAATATACAAATAGGTGTGATAAAAGTTTGTGATGTGAAATGCATAAAACTTAACAGTTCTTTCAATAAGGACCAAGTTTTTCAATAAGTATCGCTGTATTATGTCGACAACAAATAATTATTATTCTACTTTCGGAGATCCTAGATCTCTCCTGTATTCACCCTCGATACTTTATTCATCCGGTAGAACAATTCCGGGCAACAGTTCCGGTGTTCTCGGTGTTTCTTCGTACACCCATGTAAACCGGGCCGTCCCGAGCGCTGGTTCCGAGAGTCGCCTCGATCCGCCACCGCAGAAGCCGCCCTACTCATATATTGCGTTGATAGCGATGGCTATCCGGAATGCACCAGAACAGAAGATTACACTCAATGGGATATACAAGTTTATTATAGACAGGTTTCCCTTCTATCATGACAACAAACAAGGCTGGCAGAACAGTATCAGACATAATTTGAGTCTTAACGACTGTTTCGTCAAAGTCCCGAGAGAGAAAGGCAAACCTGGAAAGGGAAATTACTGGACTCTTGACTCCACTTCTGAGGAAATGTTTGAAAACGGGAACTTCCGAAGAAGAAAGAGAAGAACCAAAGCACCTTATAAACCTAATACTGGATCGGTGAAAAAGAACATGGCGTTAACTGACAGAGGAAAACTGAAGAGGTCTCAATCACATAGTGAAACAAAAGAACCCCCACCGTTGGAAACATATTGGAAAGAAGACCGGGGCCTAGAAGAGCTAGAAGGAGAAAGAAAAAGCAGTGGAAAGGATGCAGACGTGGCTCCAGATAAAAAAATGGAGATGGATATTTTAAATAAAGAGTCATTTGATGACACTCCGAACATACTTGCTAAAAATGGTCATAATTATCCTCAAACTGAACTTCAATGCATAAAGGTCCCCAATAAAATGTTTAGCTCTACTGCTAATAAGCTCAAGAAAAGTTCCTTCACCATTGAGAGTATTATGAGCAGCAATTCTTCGAGCTCTTCACAGTCATCTGAAGAGAAACCCGTTTATTTAAACAAAATATCTTCTATGTGCTTAACTGATCCAACCTTAACCAGGTTCAAAGTTAAAGGATCACCTGTTCAAACGAACACTTCTGCCCTGGGCGAAAGTTCTCAGGATCAGCCATCACACCTATTCCCATTTTCTTATCAACCACTCTTATACTCCTCAATGTCTTACGTTGGAGCTCTACAAAGACATTCGTCCATGCCAACGTCAGCCCAAATGGGGATTTTGCCTTACCAATGTGCAGGGGTATCTGCATCCCCATTAGTTTGGGGATGTCCAAGAAGTATGAAGCAGAACTCTTATTCTTCTCTACCAATGTGGTTCCCTAATTTTTCTCCATCCTATCGTTGGAATAATAGTTCAGACCAACAAACACCATTACTAACCCAAGAAATTCTGCTCAGGTGACACCCCATATTGGATAATGAACGTTTGTAGATATGCATTGAATGTATAAGTGAAGTTGTAGCGTATTGTTCTTATGAGGTAGATAGTTATATATTTTCTAACTTTTAACTAAATAAACACTCAACTTATATATATATATATATATATATATGACCACAGGTTGGCTTATTGCGTACAAAAATAACTACAGTAAACTAAAAAAATTACGAAAAGGTGTTTTGTGTGTGTGCTAGTTTGAAACTGGTTGGTATGACGTGACCCAATATAACTAGTCAGTTATCACAGTTGTCAGTCGCTGATAATGGTTTCAAATACTGTTAGTAAGTCATACGCTTTGGAAACATTCGTGCCAAAATTTGATAATTGTGAAAAAATAAAAAGTATAAAGAAATGAATAATATGTGCATAATATTGTGTTAATTGATCTTGTGCATAATATTGTGTTAATTGATCTTGTGCATAATATTGTGTTAATTGATTTTGTGCAAAATATTGTGTTAATTGATCTTGTGCATAATATTGTGTTAATTGATCTTGTGCAAAATATTGTGTTAATTGATCTTGTGCATAATATTGTGTTAATTGATTTTGTGTATAATATTGTGTTAATTGATCTTGTGCATAATATTGTGTTAATTGATCTTGTGTATAATATTGTGTTAATTGATTTTGTGTATAATATTGTGTTAATTGATCTTGTGCATAATATTGTGTTAATTGATCTTGAGAGAGGGAGAGCTTAAAGTGCCATCGACATTTGTGTAAATGTTAATTTTGGTTAATGTCTTTACAAAGGAGACTAAATTATAGGAGATTCAGTTTTTAAGGACTTCTATAAGCTTTGTTTCAAAGTCTAATATTTTCTTTAGAAATTCTGAGTTTATACGTTATCAGTACTAAACCAAAAGGAAAACAATTACTCCACGTGAATATCTGGATGGTATAGCCATTACTCCACTATTACAACTTACTATTTCCAAATTGAATAAGAGAAAACGATGAGAAGTGTGGAATGTTAACAACCAGTTAAAGGCTTTACTTTAACGTTAAAATGTATGTTCATTTGTACTGTTTTTATAAAAATGTCGATCTAAAAAGTACGGTAACAATTTAACAATAAAACAAGCCCGTGAAATGCTAACTTATGGTATCCACTGTGACGTATTTTATAAGCGGAGTCCCCCCCCCCCCACAACATTAAGTTTACCTTTAAAATATTTAGATTAAGGAAAAGGCTTAAGAGTGCAGTATCGTATTTGTAAAACTTGTAATTAGTGTTAGTATTACAAGCTATTTTAGGCTTAATTAGCAGCGGTAATGTGTTAAAATAGTTTTTGAATATTATTTCATGTGTTAGAATATGTAGTTGTGTTGGATGATTGGTTATTACAGCACGTGACGATAACTTGACACTTACAGATTCGAAGAAATCGTCCTAGGTTTTACTGTGTTATTTTAAATGCTACTTTTTTTTTAAACTTATGGTTTTTGTTTGTTTGTTTAAAACTATTATCCTGGTTCTTCCCAGTCAGGAACACTATTTTTGCCGTTTTGCAAAATAAGCCAAATTACATCATGAAAATTACTTGAGTACATTATCTCATTATGTTGTTAGAACACTAAACTGTATAAGATAAATGTTTACTGTTAACCCTAACTCTTCATGTTCTGGCGTACAACACAAAGTATTGTGTTATTATTTTAAGATGTATAATACACCACCGTACGTTTTTTTTTTTAAGAGCTACTAAATGAGATTGATTTTTGAATTTTCATTGTTTTTCGATTATGTATATTCTCAAAAGTCTTCAAAATAAACAGTGTGTTTCTGTCTTAAAACTGAATGCTGCTCTGAGCTGTGGTATGGAAAAATACAGTTATTTAAGGAATTTTTCAGAAATACAATAAACACATATATATTTATAGAAAATATATATACCCAATTACTACTGCTCTTTAATCACAACACGTTTTACGTATAATACATTATTACATAATATAAATAGTAGGGTCACAGAACAACTGAGTTTTGTTCTGCAAATATTTGCAACATAAATTATTGATTATGCATGACTAACGAGCTTAACTCTTTTTATGTTCAAGATCAGCCATTAAAAATAAAGTACAGTGTCACGTGACTACTGAGACGAATCTCCATTTGTTCGAGTGCAAGCTTGAGTTTGAAAAACTGGTGTCATTCAACAAAAGTGTTTTTGTTAATTTATATTTCAAACACTAGTTTCACACGACTACTAAGCCATCTTCCCTCTTCCAATGCTGATGCATTAAGCATTAAAACAGTGAAGTCCCACAGTGCCATTACTTTGTTTTATTGGTTATAAGCTACTGTTCCTAAGATCAGCTTGAACTTACAAACTCTTGTTATAGTATCTATTTAACCTAAAGTTTCGACATCAAAGCTTCACCAGAAGCTGTTCCTACACAAATAGAGAGTGTCTGAAATTTGAAACCACCTTTGAAAAAACGACTAATGTAATAACAGTGTTCTGTTACCCGACGTTACCCGATGATTGCTGTAAAAGAAATAAAACCTACAAAACTCTTTTGTGGACCAAATAACGCAACAGTAATCAATGAGAACTTGCGAAAAGAAATATATATATGTACAACGAAATATATTTATAACCAATACATTATATAAAATATTAAGAGTAATCTTGGACTATTTATATTGTATTACAATTGGTTAATAATAATAATAGAAAAAGTCCAGACTCACAGAATATCATACGCTACAAATACTCAATGATGGAGTAGATCTGGTAGAGAAATCGACATGATTTTAATTACGTTAATTCCTGAGAAAGGCTTGTAGTCAAAGAGCTAGAACATAAGCACGCATGATAAATTCAATGCTTAATCTATACGTTCAAGTTACTTGACGTTAATATTTTGTTTTTTTATGTATAAATGTTTTAAGAATCATGTTTTTGTTTTTTTATATAGAAGTGTTTTAAGAATCACGTTTTTGTTTTTATATAGAAGTGTTTTAAGAATCATGCTTTTATATAAGTGTTTTAAGAATCATGTTTTTTATATAGAAGTGTTTTAAGAATCATATTTTTGTTTTATATAAAAGTGTTTTAAGAAGCATATTTTTTATATGGACGTGTTTTAAGAATCATATTTTTGTTTTTTATATAGAAGTGTTTTAAGAATCCCGTTTTTTGTCTTTTATATAGAAGTATTTTAAGAATCATGTTTTTTGTTTTTTTATATAGAAGTGTTTTAAGAATCATGTTTTTGTTTTTATATATAGAAGTGTCTTAAGAATCATGTTTTTGCTTTTTACATAGAAGTGTTTTAAGAATCATGTTTTTGTTTTTTATACAGAAGTGTTTTAAGAATCATGTTTTATGTTATATGCATGATTTAGGGAGACGTGCAGTATTTCAACCAACTTTTGCAGATTGAATCTATTCTAGGTTTGCAATGGTAAATGCAACCATCATATCTTGTGAAATATATTTTCCTCATATACAAGTCTTGCACTATAAAAAACACACTGTTTCTCACTTACTCATAATACTCTAATTTTCAAAACTGTGTTTAATTCATTACTCCTGTGTAAGAATTAATTACAGAAGAAACATTAGCTTAGAGTTGTTCCAGATTCAATTCATTAACGTGTATTTTCGAACTTTGCTTTTGACGTCACCAGCAGTTATACACCGTTGGATTCATCTTTAGATATGTGTAATAAATTCTTACGCCTAGTTTCATTATGATCAGAGATCGAAACATAAACATAATTAGATATTATCATATACATATAAGGCAACTAAAGATGGAAATATCTTGGAATTACTTGTATGTTCAACCTTTTCCATGTTCATTAGGGTTCATGTTCGGTAGAGTTATGTTTATATCACTGGTGTGGGTTTTGCTGTTAGGGTTCAAGTTCAGTAGAGTTATGTGTATATCAGAAACAGACCCATCATCACGTGATAGCTTCAACCTTTTCCATGTTCATTAGGGTTCATGTTCGGTAGAGTTATGTATATATCAGAAACAGACCCATCATCACGTGATAGCTTCAACCTTTTCCATGTTCATTAGGGTTCATGTTTGGTAGAATTATGTATATATCAATGGTGTGGGTTTTGCAGTTAGGGTTCATGTTCAGTAGGGTTTCATATATATATATATATCACTGGTGTTGTTTTGCTGTTAGGGTTCATGTTCAGAAGAGTTATGTATATATCACTGGTGTGGGTTTTGCTGTTAGAGTTCATGTTCAGAAGAGTTATGTATAGAGCAGTGGTGTTGTTTTGCTGTTAGGGTTCATGTTCAGAGGAGTTATGTATATAGCAGTGGTGTTGTTTTGCTGTTAGGGTTCATGTTCAGAAGAGTTATGTATATATCACTGGTGTGGGTTTTGCTGTTAGGGTTCATGTTCAGAAGAGCTATGTATATAGCAGTGGTGTTGTTTTGCTGTTAGGGTTCATGTTCAGAAGAGTTATGTATATATCACTGGTGTGGGTTTTGCTGTTAGGGTTCATGTTCAGAAGAGCTATGTATATAGCAGTGGTGTTGTTTTGCTGTTAGGGTTCATGTTCAGTGGGGT